CCAGCGCCCGACATGTGAGGAGGCAGGAGGCACACACGTACGCCTGCGTGCTGCCGTCAGGGATGAGCTCTTGCTTTAGGCACTTGCTTTTCCCTCATTACTGGAAGCTAACAATAAGTGTGAGAATTGCAGACGTCAAATGTAATTAGGAAGAAATTATTTCACGTTACCCAACAAAACGAGGTCTATGAATAAAGCCTAATCCTGCTGTCTGCCCATTCTTTTTATCCCTAAATGACTCGGAGATGGGGAGGGCACAAAATGCCCTCCACAGCACCAGATAGGGAACAGCCACGAGGAGATTCAGCCACGCTCAGTGGGGACCATCATGCTGCCATCCTCTGGCTGAATAAACCCTCCCCTTAACGGAACTGCAACACTGTTTAAATAATTAATCATTTCAAAAAGCTGAGTCTCTTCACAGCCTAAATTTTAGTAAATAAAAATGATCACTTCAGACTATTCAGTCCCCTTAGATCTCTGAAGGAACTGCAGTGCATTCTAACAACTGTGCAAGCCTCTAAGACTGACACTTCCTCAGCACTGGTACTATCTGTCACTTTCCTGGTGATGCTCAAGGTGCAATCCTTTTCCCAGACTGTCCTATTTTCTGCTCTTCTTTCTTATTCTTTCTAGTACCTGATCTGAACAAGTCCAAAAACCTTTTAGGTAGCCTCATGACATTTAAAAAAAAAAAAAATCAATGGTAATTTTTTATACTTGTGGGAATTCACCAGGTTCATTTCATCGCAGGATTTCTGTTTCTAAGCAGCTTTTTTCAGTACAGCTGAGGAAGATATAGTATTGATCAGGGAATGCATAGAGTAGATTACCTTTCTGAACAAGGTAGTAGGTGACCATCATCTGTCAAACCTGCCACTCCATAAAGTTTTATGACTTCTCATGCTACATTTCTCAGTCACAGACATCTTGGTACTATTTCCAAAGCATCAATGGGACTATAAACACATCCAGCAGGTGTGCATGGCCGTATCTCAAGTGTACTTATTCAGAGCTATATGCACACACAGAGTGTCTCTGTGATCTATTGCCTCATGATACTTGCAATACATTATTTATATTGCTTCAGATCAAGATTTTCCACTTGCTTGTGCAAGGACAGCACCCTGTATTGTAGTGAATAAATCCAGGGCTATAGAAAAACCAGTGCAGAGCTCTACTGTACATCTGATAGATGAGCTTGCCACTGATTCACTGCTTTAAGGCAAGCAGAACATTTAAAGCCAGCAGAACATACACAGTGATACACAGGATTCAGTTGATCAACAGGAAAAGCATCCCTCAAAGTCACGAGACTGGCAATAGGTAGTTTGTTACTTTATTCCTTATTTGTTTCTCATTTTATTATTTTGTTAATGTGCAGAGGGCTGCTCCCCGACCTCATGTCTCTTTGCTTTCACACTGGGCATGGCCTTGGGTTAAACACGATCCCTACAACTAACAGCTCTTGGCAGCAGCACAGCACAAACTCTTACTAGATTGCAAAATCTTACTGGGCTGCCTGTGGCACCTGCCAGTGAAGGGTAGCAGTCCTTGAGGAGCACTGCTTGCCTGTTACGTGCCTCCTCTGACTCCTGACCTACAGTCAACCTGCCCTCTGCCCCAAGGTGGGTAGGAGTGTGCTGATGAGACAGACATGATGCTGACCAGTAATAATACTGTGCATATCAAGAACTTCCCTTAACACTGTTTATTAGCAACACGATGATAACCACTGGATTACCAAACTGTTTTGGTATTATTATCCTATTCCAGCGGGTAGGAAAAGCCAGGATGGAAACAATTCAGGGAAGACAAAGACACTGTCGTGTGTTCTTGAAAAGCAGAGGACCAATATCTCAGCTATAATACTCCTGTATCTAATTGCTAATGAGCACCTTCACAAGAGTTGGGGGGTTAAAAGACTCAAAAGAGACTTGAGTGCTTTAGAAAGCCTCTTGTAGGATACGTGTACTTCAGAGTAGAAGTTAATGGAGCTGTAAAGGTTTTTAGCAGACAAGAACATGGCCTCCAGCACCCATTTAGTATCCCCAAGTCACATGTGGTTATGAGCTGGAAGTTCTGCATCTTAATTCACTATGTGAAATGTTTCTATGATAAGCACAGTGATTTTATCTCATGGCTGAACTAACATTTAGGTGTGTAATGGGCCAGATCCTGCTATAAGATACAGTCCCTGCAGCCTCACCTTACAGCTGGTCTGGTGTAAGTCAAGGCACCACCCTCCAGCATGGGAAACAGGCAACACAATGAAATCTGCTCTGGAGTCCCTCTTCCAGTTGGTGGATGCAAGAATAGAGTCATAACAATTTCCTGGGACTAACTCTAGGTTCAGAGGTTGCAAGCTACATTTAAACAGGATCTGAACAGACCGTTCTCTGCCAAACTGATTCCCGGTGTGACTCTAATAACGCTGGAGGAACTACACCTGGGACGATTTTGGTCCCACACAATATGTCAGCGGCCAATCTCAATATGCCTGGCTATAAGCATCTTTAAAAATTACATCCTCTTTATAGTACTAAATTCTGATCTGCCAAATGTGGCAGCCAATGAACTCTTCCAAACTAAATACTGTGAGGATTATGCATAAATACTGAAGTATCCTAATCAGCCTCTTGGTGAAAATTAATTGATCCATTACAGACAATAACTATATGCTGAAGTTTTTATTCTGCATTTTTTACTTCTGTAAGTAGCATATGTGATCTGATTGGTTGGCTATTTTAAACCCTAGGGGACCATTGGTGGAACAGTACAAATCCCTCTGAAATCCAAAATTGCCAGCTGCAATTATAGTCTGCATCTAGCATCTTCTCTAAGGACTATAAATGCTTCACTACTTTAATTTTGCTTGGCATTTGCATCACTGTGTGACAATTATCGAGCAACAGCAAAGGATGGATTCAGTAATGAAGTCTGGACAGTAAAGAAATACTGTTCAAATTGAAATATTCTATTTTAATGTAATATTCAACTGTCTGTGCACATGGATACATTACATTTAGATACAAAGCAGTGGTAAGACAGGCACCTCCCTGCCTGCTGCTGAAATGTCTGTGTCTTCTTTCATACTAAAGATGAGCAGAATTGTTCTGTTCTCCTATTTCTTCACTGTTTTCAATTGCTCAAAAGGATGAGATGCTAAGTTGTAAATATTAGTAATTAAAAGGTCAATTAAATGGCAACTGTACCATTCCAGTTAAGGCTTGTGAAATTCTACCAGTTTCAGTGATTTTACACTTAGATAAAGTGTGAAGGAAACATTTTCATTCAGCTCAGCTATTTTTTTAACTCATATATACACAGTTTTAATTATTTGAACTATTTGTGATTGCCCCTAAGTCCTAGGGGCAATATTAGAAGACAAGATCAAGTATTATGGCTCAGACTGAATTAGCAGAGCTGCAACTGGGGAAAAAAAAAACAACATTATGAGAATGTGGGTCTTAGACAGGAAGGGGTTTGGGTATTGCCAAAATTATCTTCCCTTGTTAAAAAGGCATATGCTGAAGAAACATTCTTAACTGCGGAAAAAGCAGGTTTTGGAGATGTGAGAAATAAAACACTTATGTAATGAAAAAGACCTGGGGCACAGTGAGCTGTGCAGAATCAATACTTGTAAATGACACTACTTTCCTTCATCAGCCAGAGCTGGAAAACTTTGGAGAGACCTCGGTAATTTAGTCAAATGGGCAACACAGTGGAAATGCTGTCCAATGTCATTGCAAGGTCAAGCAGTGAGATATGCTAAGAGATAAAAATTTCAACTCTTCAAAATGAATCATATAAACACTGGGACCTTGTTGTCCTGTACTGTTCTTTGGGACCCAGAGTTTCGTGTGCAGCTACAGTCTGACAAGGTATTAGACTGAATAAAGACTGAACTGAAAAATCACACCACCAGCAACAGTGTAGTACCATCTTACATATTTTGCGCATGATTGCAGAGGCCCCTCAACAAGAATACTGAAAAATTAGACAGGTCTTGGAGTAGGCTAAGCATGATCCAGCACAAAGACTTTCAAAGATAGATTGGAAAGACGTGGTAACTTTATTCCAAGTAGGTGATAAATGAAAAAGAGTAAAGCCATGGAAAAAAGTAAATAAAATGCCGAAAGTGGTATTTACCAGGAGCTCCTATTCATCCTATCTCCACAACATGGTAACAGTGTTCCCCCCTTATCCACCCTAAAAATAAAAAAATAAAACCCACAAGAAAATTCCCAACAACTGTCTCGTCATCTCCTTGAGGTTTTCTCAGAGTCACACTGGATGGTGACTAACAGCATTCACCAGCTCTACATACCACCAAGCTGACAACATAATGGTGCTAAAATTGATTACAGAAATCATGGCTGGAGGGTAGGAGATTCTTAGAGGTTTCTATCGGCCTCAATTTACTAATTTTTTTTTCAGAAATCTTCCACATTTAATGGCCACCCCTTCATACCCCATGCAATATGGAAAGCCATTACAGCTGGTGAGTAACACTGCTATGAAGAAGAAGAAAGTATCTAGACAGGGTAAATCTGTCCAACCTGACCCAACAAGGCAAATACTGAAGGACTTAAGTATTTTGGACCAGAAAGAAGTCTCAGCTACTCATGGAGATGCAGTGAGAAGAGAAAGTTATACCTCTGCCTGTTGGCCAAACTAATAGCTTATAAAATGGCACCTGCAGCTACAGTCCAAAATGTTACCAAAGCTGAATATTTCCCAGTGATGCACCAAAAAAAAACCCAAAAACAAATCCACACAGCTCATACTGATATTTAACATAATCAAAGTTCACATAGCATATGCCAGGAAAATGAACCAGGGAGTTGTATGGGAAGTTTTACTGGAGCAGAAATAATGTCATGGCTTTTCCTCTTGAACATTGTGACAGATCTCTAAAGTTTAAAGACTAAGGATAAAAACTGCATCCCACCACGTATTTCCAAAAGCAAGAGTGAAGAAAAATGGTTGCCTCTTACCTTGTTAACTTTGTCCCAATCTGCTGCCTTAGTTCGAGCCTCTCTTCATCAGTCTGCATGGGGAGGATGTTCTTTTCTTCCAGCTCTCGCTTGGAAGGCCTGTTGCTTAGTTTGATTGCTAAAGAGTCCTTCCTGCAGATTTTCCTTGCCAGGGAACCTGTGGGAGAGATGAGAGGCTCTGCCAAAAGAGGTGTCATCATTTCATTACAGCATGCAACTGGCAAAGAAGAACTAGCCAAGAGAGGATATGAGGCTCTCGTTTACATTGGTGTGGCCTGTGGGAAAAGGGATGTCATTAACTTCATGTGCTCAATTAACCTCAGTTTATATCATAATAAGGAAAAGCTGAAATTGGTAGGTATACAGGAAAAAGAAATTAATATATTGCTCCATAGAGGGGAGTGGAGAAGAAGGACTTGTCTCAAAATTGCTACTAGCATCTGTAGCTTTCTCTAGCACAGTTTCTGAACCACATAATGTAATGAATAACTTTGACCTCAGAATCTGGCCAGGCATCAGAGTTACAGCATGTTAGAAGAGAGAGGTATCTGAGTGTCTCCTGCAATGTGATATCAAGACATCTAAGCTAGCACTAGACAGAATCAAAAGTCAGTCAGAATCAGCACAGAACTCCATGCACATTAACTGACACTGCTTTCCAGACAGTGATAAAGACACTGTGAAAACAAGTGGCCTTTCATGGCTCAAGCTTGCTTTCTGAGGCTTGTATCCAAAGCAGTTTGAGCAAGGAAGACAGACACAAACAGACAGAGAGAGACAAATCCATGAGAGGTTTTGGCCTTTGGCAGGAGAGTGTGAGTGCAGTTCTGCTCTGTTTTTAGGTTTAAGAGCAAATACTGCTTAATTTCACTTGCAGGGTAAGGGAGGGGCCTGGGAAGATTAAATATGCCTGTTTTAGTATCTTTTTTGTGCGTTTCAAAAAGGGTGTTGTTTGATAGTACTGCTTCCAGTTTTCAGAAAAAATTAAATCCAGGGGCCTGAAATTTCAGGTCAAAGTGTAGGATGACAAACAGTTATTGTATGCAAAGTACTGTATCTTATCTTCATGGGAGAGTCCTGTGATCACGCTGAATCAGGAGGTGGGTTTTCTTAGAGAGGTCAGGAAGGGGCCACAGGTCCCTTCCCAGTCTGTAATTGTGATATGACTGTCAATTAACCTCTTCTTGTCTGAGCCAAATCTTCTGATTGGGACCCCTTTCAAAGTATGTGCACATTTGGGAAAATTAAGCCATAATTTCTAAGTGAACTAATATAAGCCAATACTAGTCATTTGACTTTAGTCTGAGAGCTACCCAGATGGGGATTCATGTGGATTAGGGAAATCATTATAAATTCATACTACTTCTTATTTTGGATTAGCATCTCCACATAGCCCTGAGAGATGCAAAAGCCACAGTCAAGAAAGAAAGTACACAGGCCTTTTGTTTCCCTTGTGTATTGTAAGTTCAGATTGAAAATTAAACACGTGAGAAAGGAAAGATGGAATGAGTCTTACTTGTAAATAACGAGTTATCCTCCTCTTCATCTTCCTCTTCTTCCTCTTGCTGTCTTGGATAGAGGCAGGAAGAATCTTCATAGTCAGTTTCATGAGGCACATTTTCTTTATTGTCATCGCATTCGATCACAACAGTTGGCACTTGTCTCATGTCTGGAAGGCCCCCAGGTCCTGTTTTTGTAACACTGTCACCTGTGTGTAAACCAGAGCTGTTGGGAAAGAAAAACAAATTAATAAAACTAAAGGAAACAGCTCAATGAAAGACAGAGTTACTTCTCTCACTGTGTTTAGGAAAGTAGTGGTCTTCCATCCCTTTTTAAGAAGAAATGAGAACAGAAAGACCTTCAAGACCAGCAGGACATCTAGTGGGTTTAAACTGAGAACACCAAGATTTAGGGTACAACACTATTAGGGAGAGGTAGGAAAGCATGCAGGCAGAAATACTGACAGCCAGGAGGAAGATCTGCGACAAATACCTCATGACCATCTACTCAGGGTGGTAAGCTTGCCTTCAACCTGGTGTCTGTGTGACCTCTCCACTGGTGTGCAGGCAGTAAGGAGAAAATGTCTCACCTGAATGCGAAGGTGGAATAAGACCAGGAAGAAGGAAATGTACACACTGTAGGAGATAACTGTAGAAAGGCAGAGGGAAAACTCCTCAGGCAAGATGATGTTGATTAACTTGAGGGGAAAGCAAGGGCACAGTTCTCTTAAGTGCAGGGGGCTGAGCATGTGGAACTGGGCTTGGAGAAAAGAGAGTTTGGGAGTAGGTGAGAGTAACCAGGGAAATAGCTAAAACCTGAGAGGCTTGTTTGCTGATAGAACAATTATATACTGGGGGGGTCTGCCATGATGATATCTCTTCTCCTGCCTGGGTTGCTTATCCAGCCAGGTGCTGAAGATGAGTGAGAATTGGAGCTAATATATTTCTTTTGTCACAGTGTGATTATTTTCTGCAGCTCATTAGATTAAGGCTTGTGTTCAGTACTGCTACCACCTATTCTGTTTATGTGTTGATTTCAAAGCCCCTTTACCTAGGAACATATCAACAGAAATAGGGAACAGGAACATGAGGAGGTGAAAATCAAAGTCAAACAAAAGCTGGAAGGAAAAGTCAGAGACAGAACCCCGTTTCCCAACCAATTTTTATCTAATAGCTCGTGTTGCTTTTCCAGTGTGAAACCACAATGAGAGGCCGGCAGGCAAAGATGGTGTCAGCTCAGGTTTATTTGTGAGACGGCAGAAACCACCCTCTCAATTCCCAGCTGAGGCAACAGCTATATGAAAAACGGGGAACGTTTGTCTGTTGGACATCCTCTATATGTTGAACTCCCATTTTACTTTCCAGAAGAACACAGGTGTGAATGCAGATGTGCTGGCCAAGTTGACCTGGAGGCACACAAATTTGGGTCTCCCCTTAACAGGTACTGAGCAGCCTCAGTTCCCTTGAATATTTTAGCCTGCTCTGAATACCAGTCATTCTGCATCTTGAAATGATTTAAATTGTTTTCTACTGAGTCAAATGAAAAACTTTGCTTTCTTCTAGCCCTAAAATTAACACGGACTCTTAAATGGCTGCCAGATAACATCACAAAAGGCTTCTAAAGATATAGTTCTTGGGATATAATGCTAGTTCACAATATGCTTAGGGATTAAGGGGAAGAAAAGGCTTTGGATCCTGTGAACAAACCAAACCATGCTGTTATTATCATATTCAGCTTCAAAGAAATAATATTGTTAATTCAAACATTTACTATTGCCGACTAACCAACAATGAGGTGCAGAGCTTTACTGGATGCCTTTAAGAGAAAATCCATTTTCTTAGTGATAGTCCATGTTTTGTATCACAAAGTAAGAAAGATTCATGAATAACTGGCTTTTGAATTTTTGTATTAGACTTCAATGAGTTTGACCCCAAAAACTTTATCCCCAATGTAGTTTTAAAATTCATCAGCTGAATTCTCATAAATGACACATCAATGTACTACAATACTTAAAAATTTTCAACTAATTTTTAATTTATTGAAATACCTTAAGAATTTTAATATTGTGAACTTAATCTGTTTTCCCTGTAACCTAATTTTTGAATAAGTCTTTTTATGAGAAAAGGCAGGAAATCAAATTTCAGAGAGAAACTATAATACTGTGAAGTTCCATTAACATTGTTAAAAAAACCAAAAAAAATCCTTCCAATAGTGAGCACATAACCACTGGATCGTTCAGTTAATTCTAAAACAATACATACACAGAGAGTAAGTACAAGTTCACTGAGCCCCTTCTGGAAGTACAAATGAAAGGAGCAAAAAGTAGTGCAGCATCCAGGACTATTTTGTGCTTTCCTGTTCTGTGAAGGATGGATGAAGGTTACAGATGCATCCTTATGGGGTGTGTACATAGGGTAACAGATATCAAAGTGAGTCATCAATTTAGGTTATCAAGCAGGAATCAGATGGCAACAAGACTTACAAGTTACCACAGAGGATATTTATTTGAACTAGTGATCTAGAAATAGACAGCTTCTCATCTCATTGTAATTTTTCTGAATCATCCATTTTCTTGATAATACTACTTTCTATTTTAAGCCCCTCATTTTTCCTGGTGTTTTGTGTTGTTCTTGATTAAAATCAGCCTTTTCCACTGCATTTTGACTAAGTCAGCTGTCTAAGCAAAGCACTTATGAAATACGTGCAGTACTGCAGTATACTTAAGAAAGACGAATCAAGGTCACTGGATATGTCCATTGAGTATAAATTCCCCTGGATCATTAGCAAAACTCTCACATGGTTAGGCGGTCTACACCACAAAATTTTTCAGCATTATTCACCAAAAAACACACTATTATTTGAAACAGCTCTTTTAAAATCAGTTTTGCAACAAAATTAGAGAACGAAGCTACAGTGAAGCAAGAACTTGTTTCAAGAAGATAAATGCATGTTAACACATGGATTTGAATAATTCATAGCTTACTAGTACAAGCGCTTGCAATTATTGCTGCATCATCTTTATGTGATCAAAACAGCAAAAAAGTTACATCACTATAGCTTGCAACATTTCTAGTGAGAAAATATTTTAATGAAAAATCTCATTTGAAGATTATGAGGGACTCATGGTACAGATAAAATCAAAAAAGAAAAAAGTTAAATCCCTCCTGTAAAATCTAGTGGAAAAAACCCCCACACTTCTCATCTGTCATCCCAAGCCCTTTGATTTTGGAGTAAAAGGTTACATTTTTATCAGCATGTTTTCAGATCCATAGTACACTTTTCTGTACTTAACAGTTAAAAAAAAAAATCTGAAAAAACTTTAAACCACCGTATATATGTTTCCACTACAGGCATGTGTGAGAGAGACAGAGAGAGAAGGCAGAGTTATAAATATTAAGTGTTTCTATCCTTAGGCAATGCTAAAGTTTAGACAAGAGGTAATTCTCTTGACAAGTTTTATGGAAGATAAATGCTTTCTGACTCAAATATGTTTTATAAGATTTACAAGACACTGACAGTAATGTCTAATGCATTTCATTTCGTAAATCTACAGTCTGAAGCTGGGCTGAGTGTCTCAGAGGAACTGGTCTCACACACTGTCTTTTTCACTGCTCTGCCACATAGGCAATTCCAGCCAGAAGTGAGATATTGCCACTTAACAGTTCTTTAGTACCTACGCTGAACAAATAGAGGCCCTGATTCAGCTGCTCCCCTACATGAGCCCAGAGAGTAATTGAAATTAATTGCCACCTTTCCAGACAGACTGAGAACTATAAGGGCAAGGCATAAAATAAGGCTATTTCAGACCAAGGAAATGCCTCGCTAAGTCAAAATTAAAGGCACGTTTCAGTGGCACGAGAGTGTTGCTAAAGCCTCCTTTGCTGTTTGTGACTCACAGCTTTGGGGCATGGTCTTTCTTCTCAAGTTCGTTTCAGTCAGGAGGATGAAACCTTCATATTTTGGTGTCAGGGCTTATCAGATTTTCACCAACTCTTAAAATGCACTCTGAAATGGTGAAAAACAGCGCCCAAATCTAGATTTTACTAATGCTTGACATGTACCCTTTGGGATGAAGGGGAAAGTCGTTTGCAGTAGGGCACAAATTGGCAACAGAGGTTGCAGAAAAAAGGTTATGTGGAAATTACACGTTTTTCTGCTTCAACTTAATCTATAATAAAACTGGTAATTTATCAGGGAAAATAGAGACAAACTGGCAGCACAAATGACATGTCATAATAGTCATACTATGACAAGGGACATATTGCCCTTCTGAGAATAGGGTATGAATAGACATTATGAGTCCCACAAAATGTTTGCAATCAAAAGTCTTAAGTGTGCAAATGAACTTAATGTTCTATAATGTCTGTAATAAAATGGAATTAAAACAAATTCCAGGAATTAACTGCCATTTTAAGTCATAAGAGCAACTGGGACTTGAATAGCTATTACATGCTTTTAATGTACCTCAAGACATTAACTTATTAATATGCACTAGGTCTAGGTGAGGCAGTAACCTGCAATCACTCCTGCAGAGGGGAAAATAGAGGTAGAGAGGCTCAGTGGTTTTCTCAAGGTCAAAGACAACAAAATAACTTCTGGCTTCCAGGCCCTTCCTGAGGGAGAGCTCATTTTTCTCTGGCAAGCTTGTGGCTCACTGGCAAAGCACTGATTTCAACTATCAGTGTTAGACTATCCAAATTCCAGAGACCTTATCTGTGTAAGAAAAAAATTCCAGATTACTAGAGGAAGGGGATATTTCAGCCTTTCATTATTTGTTCCTGTCCACACTCACAGATCTGGTGGAGAGAAGAGTTGTGACTTCTAATAAAAGATTACTAGGCAAAATGTGGATTTGACACAAACTGGTTATGGATTCAGTGTGTATCAATGGAAGGCCTAAATGGCCTTGAGGAGCTTCCACTGCAATAGGACAAAAGAAATTAGACACAAGGAAGAAAAGGAAAAATTCCCAAAGGAAAAGAAAAAAATTAGAGCAGAAACCTGTACTTGTCTACATAATCCTTCCTTATCAAAAAACCCCCACTAGTCTAAATAATACCCCAAATTACCCAATTTGGCAGAGTGGCAATTATTCTGTAATGTTGTAGGATTCTTTTGAGATAATGTCTGAGGTCAGCAAAAAAAAAAAAAAAATGCTGCCAATGAACCTTAGCATTCCCCTGAAGCGGCCTCAGAGACTTGTCAGGCTCTCTGATCTCAAGATTATTGACCCAACAGCAGTGACCCAGTACACTGTTACTTTGGAAGCAACTGTAAAGTTCATACAGGAAATTAGGATGTCACTGCATATCTTATGCATGCGACAGATTTGAGCACACGACCAAATTTTAAACAGAGCGAAGTAGATCTAGGATCTTTGCAGTTTTAACAGGCCCTCAAGAGTTCTAGGCTGAAGTGCACAATGATAAATATTGCAGTGTAATTTCTTTTGGGTTTCATGCAGATTTTATACAATTAAGGGAAAATAACTACTGTAAAAAATAGTGGAAAATGGTGGCATTTGATATAAATAATCCCCTCCCAAGTTAAATAAATACATTTTAAAAATTTGCACAAATCTTCAAGAAAACTTAGCAAATTTACCTAGCTCACAATTTGTCTTGAAAAAGCAATTTAAGAATTTAACAGCAAGTGTCAGCTCCACAGACACGTAAATGTTTGAAACACTTTTACCTCTAAGTACTATAAAAAGAACAATTGCTGTTGCAGAGGAAACGGTCATGCCCTATTTTCTCCCTTGTAAATGCAAAAGTTATTGATTTGTTTTGGCAAGGAGCATAACTGAAGTAGTCAATGCATTAATCCATGATTGAAATAATAGTTCATCAACACAAAAAGGCTATGAAAAATCAACTGCCTGCAATACCATGAACTAGTATTCCTATTAATTTTAAATGTGAAATATCAGTGCCATAACCTTTTCTTATTTTCTTCTGCAATGGGAGGTAATTGCTTCACATTAGGAAATGAATCTTACCTTATTCAGTTTTTAACAAGCAGCAGAGCTTCAGCTTCAAATTAATAGTTATGTACAAACAGCATCACCTTCTTTAAATCAGTTAAATGTAGACATAAGCATGATGGATGACTAGAAATTGGAGCATTCATTGCTGAGGGGCAACAGATGCCACAATGAAGTCATACTCTGCGAGATGTCATGGAGCTCAGGATAACAAAGTGCCTTCTGTGCACAGTGTGAGCCAGACAAGAAGGTATCCAACCAAAGCCAGGCATGGCCTGGGCAGTGTAGCCCCAAAGGAGCCTTTGGGATACAACAGCTACCCCTCTGTGCCTGGTGCATTGAGCTTTGGGGAGATGCAGATGCACCTGACTAGCCATGCTGGCAATGCGAGAGGTAGATGGGTAGTCACTGGGTATGGTGTGGAGGGGCATTGTGGATGCTCTTCCTAACTCTACCTCGACAGTTCTTTTACTGGTGGGAATAGGAATTTCCTTCAAGAGTCCTAGCAGTTTTTCCCCAGCTGAGAATTCCCCTATGCTGTAGAAACTAAAGCTGCACCCCTCACCTCATGATGTAATCACCATTTCGGTACTCAAATAAGATGGCAGTGTGGGATGGCCTCTGGTATAGTGACAGCTTTTCAGGCAGTAAGGAGAATTTGCCATCAATAATCCAATTATTTTAAACTATGCAATATAATGAAGGTAAAATTATCACAAAGAGGTATTGGGGTAAATCATTAGGCACTTTGTCTTTTAGACCAAATATTTTATCTTCCTGTGTAAAAGAAGGATGATCTGATGCTCCTAGAATAAGCTGGCTACAAAGCTGCCCTTCGTACTAAATAAAACGTGTCATTTTTTTGGAGTACCTTTCTTCTTCTGGGACTTCCTCAGTTTTCCCCTACAAGATGAAATAAATTTTACAAAGCTTGCTGATCTTTCAGTCTACGAGGACAGCTTGCATTTATACAACATGCTTCATTTAGTCAGACTATTTGGAGCAACATTCAGAGATATTCACAAATGGCAGTAAAAAAAAACCAGCCCCAAGCTGGGTAAGGTACTTCTGATCAAATGTGCCACTCTCCTTCAGATGCAAATGGCTAAGAAGGTAGCTGCTGTGGAATGGGTCAAACACTTATTTTAAGATCAAACATATAATTTAATTTAAATGAATTGAAATAATTTAAATACTGTATTAAAACCCCTCTAAGGGGGGTTTGTAGGAAGTCCACATAGATTGTTTCGAGCTAACTGGTAATACTAATCAGGTGCTCTGCTTGAGTGGCACATTGGATTATTATTGCTCTTTTATGAATCTTCCACTTCCTTTCCTTGTATAATAGCAATCCTACACACAATTGGAGCTCTGCAGTTATGCACTCTGTAGTATATATTGCAAGCCAGGCATGTCCTATTAAAACTTAACCACTGATTCTATTATTTGCTTCCTTGAACAGGACACTGGGATTCGGGAAATTTGGTCCTTATCTCTTTTCTGCCACAGGCTTGTCAATCAAGCCTGGAAAGGCTCTTCCCCTGTTTCTTTTTCTCTGGGAATGACCCTGCCCTGAAGTTGTTAGACCCCAGAGCAGACACTTAATTCAAATACTATGCATATAACTCAAGTGATGATATAGATACCGAGGTTAGCAAAAAATAGTGCACATCAATATGTAATTTTAAAAGCTGATCCATTACCTTTCTAGCCTGTGCATGGTCATGGCTAGTGTTTTGTTCAGTTCCTCTATCATCCGGCACCCTGAAGGGTGAATGGGCAACGTGCTGGACCCAGAAGGAAGGTGCTGGCTGTGGCTGCCGTACTGGAGCTGGTGCTGGTGAGCTGCTAACTGGGATGGCAGGACGGTGTGATGCTGTTGGGTCAAAGGCTGCTGGGAGCTCTTCTGCGTGGAATAGGATGAGAGAGAGAGGTCTGGCCCCCCTAAAGGCATGCAAATCATGACTTTCTTTGGAGGTAGTGGAGGTGACAGTTTAACTGGCATACAAGGCAGTTTCACAGGAGCGCCAGGATCTAAAACAAAAGAAAGAGAGCCCTGGTGTTAATTTTCATGTCAGTAAGATGGAGATCAGAGCATCAGCCTGGGTGAGCAGGTACTGAGCTTGCTAGTCAACATGGGAGTGTGCACTCCTCCCCTGTTGCGACAGATCACTCTGCACACCCAACACTCAGCGTGGTCTTCAGAAAAAATACGGTCGTTTTGCAGCGCTGCAGAGTCTCACAAAAAACATCCTAGGGCTGTGCACACCCCTTAGTAAACATGTTAAGCAATGCTTAACAAGGCTTGCGGCAGGCTTTGACGCTTTAAAGTCCAAATCCTCCAAAACAGCCCTCTGAGGTAAGCACATCTTCCACTCAACAGACCCGCAAATAGGGGGAGAGCAATCCAGTGTCTGAAGTTACAGGATGACTCACCACCATCACTGACAGAGCAAAAGCTCAGGGATTCATGATCCTTCCCAGGCATTGCAGTGCAATTACTACAAGTCATGCTTCTTACAGCTTTGTAATGTGCAAAACATCTGGTGTTAAAAATTACATTACAGGGCAAGTGAAAAAAGAAGTAAGGTTTGAATACTAAACAGGAGAGGTTTGGAAAAACGAAGGGTACGTGAGGAAAAAGATATAAAGGGCAGCAGATTGTTAGGACTCACCTATTTTTTTTACAAAAGACTTGGTAGGCACTTTTCTCTGGACTCTTCCACTGAATTTTACCTTTTTAACTCTAGGCATGTTCACTAAAACCCACAGCTGACCAGCCAGGCAAAGACTTCCCTGACTTCAATGAGAAATCAATGAGAGGTCCACCTAAAAACCTCTCTTCTAGAACTCAACTACAGGATGGAGATTTTTGGAGTTGCATTGTGAAGTATTTTGAGAAGGAAAAAGAAGTAACATGAGGGCTTTAGTTGCCAAGATGGGTGGGGGAAATGCTCACAACACATGCTAAGAACAAAGGAGAGAGCACACATATACACCTTGAGCTGCAACTGTAAGTTTATCTCTAGGAGCAAGACCAGGCCCTTTCCAGCCTGTAATACTGCAGACATTTGGCTCTGCAATGTAGTTCTGTGGACAAGGCTTGCATGATTTTTGGTCTCTTGCTGCTTCACTCCACTCTTGCTGTAACATGGTCAGGGAATTGCAGGGTCAGAATCTTCTTTCGACCCAAGAAAGCCTGCTGCTCTCCAGGTTCCAAAGGTCATCACCCTCCTCAGTGCAATCAGATTTCAAAAGTCCTTTTCCAGGTGGTTCTTCTCAGTATTAACTATCCTTGCCCTCACCCCCTTCATTCTTTCCTCCTTCACAGCCTCTTCTGGATATTGCCTGTACTAGCATCCATATCTAACAGCCAGGGTGCAGAAGGGTGAATAGGAAGACTTTCAACCACTAACACTTCTTGAAAATGATTGAGGATCGTAAGGTGGAAAAAGACCATGGATAGAGCCAAGTTTAGATACACCTTTTGACTTATTTTAGTGTTAGTCACGGTTTCGTTGCATCCACAGTATCCACTTATTACTAGTGTTTTTGCTGCACTAGGAACAGCACACTGACAGTAAGTCTTCCCTTTCTTCAGAGTGTTTATAGGCTAACAACATAAAGGAGTCAAAGGAAGTGCAAAGATGAAATACACTGTGTTAGTTTTGGCTGGGGTAGAGTTCATTTTCTTTATGATGGCTGGTATAGATAGGGCTGCATTTTGGATTTGTGCTGAACACAGGGTTGATAACACAGAGACGTTTTTGTTATTGCTGGGCAGTCTTGACACAGAGCTTTTCTGCTTTTTGTACTGCCACACTTGCAAGGAGACTGGGGTTGCCTGGGAAGTTAGGAGGAGACTCAGGCAGGACAAGTGACTGTCACATGTGACAGGCACCTTGCTCTCCTGGAGATGGCTGAAAACCTGCCTGCCTACAGGAAGCAGTGAATGAATTCCATGTTTTACTCTGCTTGCATGCATGGCTTTTGCTTTTCCTGTTAAACTGTCTTTATCTCAACCCATGAGTTTTCTGGCTTTTACCCTTCTGATTCTCACTCCCCCTGATTCCACTTGTGGGGGAATGAGCAAGCAGCTGCATGGGGCTTGGCTGATGGCTGAGGTTAAACCACGGCCTAGAAGCACGGAGAAAAAGTGGCCTTTCCACATTGCAGAAGAGTTATAGAGAGTAGAATCCAAGTCTTTTGCCTTCAAGGTAATCTCAAATCCACTTGGCATCCTGCCTCTTGCAGGCAAAAATTCTTCTGATGGTTCCATCAAGGATGAAAATATAACTCATGGATTTGCCAAAGTAGTAAAAAAAAAAAACCACTTCCAGGATTTTCTATTCAAGCACACAAAGCTCTTCCTATGTACATGTTCTTTGTATGTATTACCTTTTGGTATCCTGCATAAAAGAACACACCTCTTCAATAAAATGTAAATAACAGAAGGAGTAAAGAGAAAATTGTATAGAGCCCTGAGAATAAGGTTCCTAGGGGATTTGTAGTAACAAACTGGACTTTTTCTTATACTTGTGCTTCAGGCAATTTTACTTCTAGAGCTCTTACTGCTTTACAAAGACTACACTGAGATCTGCACTTCCATTTTGACAAACGCAGCTTTGATGGTTGGTTTTAGATCCTTTTTTGCAGTATCTCAATTAAAGTCTTCATTTGACAGCGCCTGTGCCTTGGACTCCCTATCACTCTGTGGCAGTCATCCTTAACGGTGGATTCAAAGAGATCCCAACTGCAGGCATCTCTTGCTTTTGACAAAAGAATAAACGAAAGTATTCTGGGTTTGCTGCCTTTTTCTGATCTTGAAGATTAGAGCAGTATTTTAGTGAGCATGGCATGTCAAATAGTTCAGACATAAACGAAACAGAAATCCTTCCTTCTTTCTTCTAAAATATAATGAAAATTTTCTCCCACAAGCATTCATTTAGTACAGTTGTGACACAGGCACTTCAGCTCTGGAGTTGTATGGGAGAACAACTCTAGCTTAATTATCCTGAGTAGCCACACATTCCACCATGAACCAGATGCGCACACTCTGGTTTCCTCTTCATAAGAAAGGTATGGACCTTTAGTTTCCACTTAAATACTTCACATCAGCATGTTTTCAGTGGTTATCAGTGCTGAGTGACTCCACCGGACACCTTCCAAAAATCCTGCACATTATTTTTAATATCTTTATTCAGATTGACTGTGTTACACCCAGGTTGTTAAGCCTGTCTGAGTATGGTCCTAGTGCCAAAATAGACCCTTGAAAATGAACTAGAGGCATTAAATCTACTTGTCTGCCTTTCACCTTCAGGAGAACTCTGTCTGTTTTAAAAAAATGGTTAAAAGGAGGATGACCACAATGGGAGGAAAGTTCAATCCATTCCCTTGGAAACGTAACAGTGTATCTTCACCAACACCAGTAATGGAGACCTTGGTACTGCAAGTTTTACTGTGTGGACAGATCAGCGAACAAGTGAGGAGTAGAAACAGTTATTGTCTCCAGCATGGAATATCCATCAGACATGGGCATCTGTAGATAAATAAGAAGCTGGACAGGGAAAATATGAACAAGGAATATATGATAAGTGTTTTCTCAGCAGAACAATACCAGAGGCTTAAATCATTGAACAAAGCACTCTTAACAGAAAAGAAAACTGTGTGAAGCCAGGTGTGCGAGTCTGATTAATCTCTTTGAGCTGAGGTTCTCCATACTCAAGAAAATAATGAGCAGTTTTGTAAGATGTTGGTTCCCAGTGGTGTTGTGACCACTCAGCACCGTGTAATAACTTGTGTGCTAGAGCTGATCAAAAAGATGATAGGCACCAACTTCCCCACTTCTGATGACAATAAATTATTTAAAAGATAGTTGTGGATGTCACAATATTTGCTACACATCAGACCTTTGACAAGCAGGTCAGCCCTTACCCTTTCCTTACAGATAATTTTTCCAACACCTACAGTTGCTCCATTTCCTCTGGGGTTTTCAGGAGACAGATAAACACACGTTTATTTGTTGCACAGGTGTGCTCATGTATGGTCCTTCTGATTTTGGGGTACACTGGGACTGAACACCAAGCACACTGAGTCGGATGCTTCCTAGTCACTGAAGATGGCTGGAGAACTGGTTGGCACATGCTGCAGATACAGCTGCTGCAGACAGGCTTCTAGGAAGTTCTGAATGTGTGGCAGCAAATGTTGCTCTAGCAGGGCTGGTAGAAAAGCTCATTAAAATCTTCAAGTTCTGCCCCAGCTCAACTACCACATGGAGAAAGAGGATATGCCTGGGAAGCTGGGGCTTGTCTTTGCTATACTGCCAGTGGCAGAAAAGCTCTTACTTGACTCTTTGCCAAATGTAAGCCAGCATTGTACCCTGATAGCAAGGAAAGGCAACAGACTCCTAGGTGGAACGAGCAGAAACACCAGCCAGGAGATCAAAGGATTATTTCCCTTCTATTCAGCACTCCTTAGACTGTATCTAGACTATTCTGCAAGCTTAGGATGCCCCAGGAAAGATATAAAAACCCCAAAATGAGCTGAGCACAGGGCCGCTGCAGTGGTTGAGGGCTAGAGCACGTGAGGGACTGGGATTTGTTCAGCTTGAATAAAAGATGGCTTGCAGGGGCAATACCTACCAGCAGCTTTCCAGTCCCTATGAAGAGGTTATCAATAAAGTGGAGCCAGACCCTTCACAGTGGTATAATGGTGGGAGGAGGAGAGGCAGTAGACAAAAAGTGAAACAAAAAAGGTTCAAGACTGGATTATAAGGAAAATGTTTCCCCACTATGAGAAGAGCCAAATAGCGGAGCAGGTTTGCCCAGACAGGTTGTGCAGCTGGCATCCTTTGGAGTTTTCAAGACACGGCTGGACAAAGCCTGAGCAATCTGGTCTGATCCCATAGCTGGCCCTGCTTTGAGCAGGAGGTTGGATTAAAGACCTGATGAGTTTCTTTCCCCCCTGAATGATCTTATACTGCGACATCTGCTGTACTGTATACAACTACAAGTATTACAACTTGTCATAAAGCTAATGAGTTAAATTCCATCCAAGTCGTTAATTCTATAAAGTAACATGTGAGAAAAGAAAACCACTGCAAAAACCAGTGTGGCCTGTTGAGGGAGCTCCACAGTGGAAATGGAGTGATGTCCCTGATATCTGCTGGCAGCATTTGGACAAGTAGCTCTTACTTTTTCAGGTCTTCTCCCCGGTAATCACTTGTGCCTAAACAGCGGGAGTCGCTTTTCTTATTTCAATGAGATTTTGAGGAGATTCATAAGGACAAGTTAAAAACTGTTCTCAAAGATTTGCCATGCATCTCCTGCTGACTACAGCAAGATCTGCAGCCATGTCTTCAGGGAAGATTTGAGACAGAAATTCTTTACCGTTCTTCTGTACCACTTATGCATCCAAGGTTCAAGTTGAATTTGGAGAACGAAAGCAAGGCATGCTTAGCCTAAAGGGTTGAAAAATACAGCTCTGTGAATTCCTGTGCAGGGCCTTGAAGAGGGTTTCAAAGACGAGAAGATTTCCTGATGCTGGTATGTGCTACGTACTCCCCTCCAGGTAGCAGCAAAGAGAGGAAGTGTGGAGAGAGCAACTGCATCAGAGTCCAGTTTCCCATGAGAACTTGGTGAAAGAGAGCTGCTTTTACTTGGCTGCTTCTCCTTCAAGCACACAGTGAAAGAATTGTAACCTCTCTTCATGAACACAGCCTGCCAGAGCAGGCAGCTGGAGGTAACACCGCAGTAGAGGAAGTTTGTAGATTAAGTCTTGGGCTCATCTACAGAGGATTCTTCTGACACACATGTGACTATTGCACTATCAAATACTGCAGGGAGTATTTACTAGATAAGTTTTAGTTGCAAATACTTTCATAAAGCTGTCACTAACAACTAGTTGTGTTGCGGCAATGCAGCAGGACCCCAGACATTCATGTTTTCAAACCTCATCCTTGGCTTGGCTGAACTATCAAAAGTAACTTTTGAGGACTTAATATTTCCTACCCTGCTAAATGTTTGTCTCTAATTATGAATTAGTTTTGACTCTACATAGACATAACTAGAAAGCACAATCTCAGAACTAAAAATTTGCTATGCATCTCTTCAAATCTTGAATGAAGAAAGCAAGAGAATGTAAAAGACTTTTCAAAGCTTAAATGCAATAGTTAAGTGGCTAGATACAATCAAAGCTACCCCCTACTCTAATATTAGACTAAATCTGGGCTCAAACACACTCAGATATTGCTAAGGTTCCATGTTAGTGATATATTTTGTTTTCTGAAGTTTTAGGGGACTGGTGACTCAGTTGGAAAATATAACTAAATTCAGAAAACATTATCTATTCCGGTGAGCATTGACAGCTGAATGAATCAAGATCAAAGGCAGCTTTACACCACCGGGTTCTATCAAACCAGACGTGACTAGTCTTCTCAACACTTTTGGCCATTAAAGATTTTACGATAATCTTGGGACCTTATCCCAGCACCCCAATTAAATTTGGTCCCAGGTGATTGTTTCAGCTTGTCCTACATTTTCAGCAAAGGAAACTGCAAGCGTTGTTCTAAATGCCTGAGTTCTGCATGTGGATATCAGAGAAACAAACCAGCGAAAGGAGTTCTGTCCATGAACATTGTCTAATAATAATAACCATAGCTAAAACCCAGTATAAGGCTCACCAGGAGGTGATCAGCCAGCAGGAAATGCAGAGCAGTGAAACAAATGCCCAAACAGTTAAGGTTCATGTTTTTCTCTTAGGGTTGCCTGTCTTCTAAGGCTGCATGGGCACTTCCACACCCAGTGCTGTGACTGGGACATTCCCCGTGGAGGCAGCATCATCCAGACCACAGGAGATGGTGTGAGGCAAAGCACTGAGCATCTTCTGCAGCAGTGGTGGCACCACTTCCAGTGGCTGCTCTGCAGTCTGTTCTTGGCTCTGGCTCTGTTTCTGTATTGTCCCATCCCCACAGTACTTCAGCCTTGAGAAGAAGCACGCCAAGGTTGTGTGATTTATATTTGTAGAGGCAATTCCCTTTTCCTTTCACCTTTAAAAGGGATTTTTTTTCTTTTCATTCTCCCTGTGATTAAACGTGCTCCTACATGTTTATTTAGGCCTGCTCTTTTATGTGCATTTCTTATCAATTGACAGGCCAATCTTTGTCTTGGCACAGGTGGATAGGTATTGGAGATGGTTCAAAATGCATTCAGAGGTAAGGAATGTTCCTTTTCAGTTTCTAAAACATGTATTAAGCCCTTTGTCAAACTCTGCAAGTCAGTTTTCATGACTTTATTGAAGAACTCTGGGACAAGTTCACAGCAAGATATGCTCAGACTGAAAGCAAACTTTTCTTCCCTCAACGTCTGTATTTAAAATATTTCTCCTTTTTTTTTTCCCCTCTATTGGCCTGTATAAAGCATGTTTCCATTAAATAAATGCACTTATGTACACATACACATATATATATTTAAAGAGAAGTTGAGTTGGTTCTGTGTTTTCACTGTGTACCTGAAGCCTTCACAGGATCACATCTCTCACATTCTTCTCAAACAGAGCTACCAGACCATTAAACCACTGTCACCCTGCGCTAGCCATGCCTAGGATGTCTTAATTTGTCCTCCCTTTTCACAAATTCTTCAACAAAAAAATGGGTATGCAACAAGAACAGAAAAATCTGCACCTCAAATGCCAGAATTCAGATTTTGCTTGTTTTCTCACACACAGGCTGAGGATGTCTCTGGAGTAATTAGTAAAAGAATAGCATTAATTCTGCTTCTCACTGATGAGGATGCTTCATTAGGATTGATTGCTCATTTCCAGAGATTGTAAATGGCTAATATAATTTCCAGTGGAGAACACAAGGCATTGAGCAACATGTATATCCTTTAGACCACCAAAGTAAATGGATCCTTAAGAACAAGCTAAATACTTTTATTTATAAGGAATGTATAAATGAGGGTTTCAGTTCCACCAGGAATAACTGTCAATTAAATTAGGGCTTTATGACCAAATTTGCATCTCTGTTCCTTTTCCCTGAAAGTTCTGTATATGCATGTACAAGATTCTGTCTATATGCCCATACCAGACTTTATTTAGGACTGGATGAGACACCACAAAGCAAAAGAATTCACAGTTTTGTTTCACTTTCATTGGAAAGTCATCACCATCAAGCAACTCACTTATAGCTTGAGCCTGATTCTACTTCACACAAAATTTGCAGCTGTAGAAAATAAAAAAAAAAAAAACTACACCAGAAGCCCTCATCCTCTGATTCTTTTTCTATTGCTTACAGAAGAAAGGTTTATGAATGAAGGACATTTAGTACCTGAGTTTTTTCCTATGCTATTCCTATTTTTTTATTTCTTCCATGTTGGCCTAATTTCTGAGCACCTTCTTATAATTGGGACAGAGTGTTATGGGAGATCATAGGAAGCTGGTTTTGTCCTTGTGTGAAGCCATTAATACTGCTGCCTGGCTTTGCAGGCTGCAGGACTGCCCTTTCAGTTTGTAGTAGAAGGCAAAATATTAATCATTTATGTGCAGATTTTGACAGGCAAGAAAGTAAAGAGGTTTCACATAAAATGTACAGAACCATACAGAACAAAAAGGTGTGGTCATTCAAACAGAGACATGAAGAGACTACATAGAGAAGTCAGAGAGAACCAGAACATGCTCTTTCATAATAAGCTCTTTCCTGATATAGATATTAACCTCAAAAAAACCCAGGCACTAACTGTTCAGGAAAAAACCCCAAACTACAATGTATTAATGTGGGCTGAGCATTTCTCACATCAGCCCTGAATATATCAGGGCAGTGATAACATAAGATCAACCCAGGGGAAGACTGGTAGCTGCCCCAGTACAGAGATGCACCACACCTTGTGCTGAGCTCAGGATTTTGAGGTGCTGCCTCCTATGCAGCAGCTGCAGTTATGAGCAGACTGTTCAAAAGGTGCAGGCAAGCATTAAGGGAACCCTCTTTAGTCTGTGTAAATGTAGATATCCTTTGCTTAAGCGGTCTAAATGAGAGACTGGAGAGAGGCGACTCCCCAATCTTCCTTCCACATGTACCTTAGAACTTTGAATCCCAAAGAGCTTGGATGCTTGTGAAAACACGGGGAACACAAAGAGGAGCCTGTGTTGTCTACTATTGCTAGTTTCCAAGCAGTAAGAGAGAAACTGCAGCATAAACCTGTAGGACACCAAAATCCTGGCCACTGAGAACTGGAGCAGGACTCACCAGTGGGAAGGGAGTAGTCAGAGCAGGGGTGGAAAGGTGGAGCAGTTGGGCAGAGAATGTAAGCAGGAAAGCAAAATGGCAAGAAGTTATGGGACAGAACTTTCTGTGTCAGGAGCAGGGGGGCAAGTAAAAGACAAACTATGGAAAGATACAGGATGTGTTGAGGGGGACCTGCCCATATGGCAGTTGAGGGTACAAGCAACAAAGGGCAAAAGGAGAACTCAAAACTCTCCCTTTCCTCTCAATTCTCATGCCTTTTCTCATTAAGGGTATTTAAAGATATCCTCATATTTTCTTGATACTTCCTTTCCCATCAAAGCACATCCTGAAATTTTAGTGGTGATGGTAAGTTTTGATGAACGGGAGTGAGGAGGGTTAGGAAACACCACAGCAATCTTAGGTAATTAGAGCTGAGAGGGGAAGTGCCCTGGAGCAACCTTGATGAAGGTATACTCTGAAGATTTCGTGATCCTGCCCTAGGTAACAACACATACATTACCAGTACACACAAGAACAAGTGCAAACAGTGTTACAGAAGGAGGAAGAACATTGAGAACCTTGCTATAATGTCAGTTTTTCCTATGAGGGAAATGGTGCTGAGGGTCCAGGAATACCTACTTACCAGTTAAGTGGCTGGCAATCCTGGCAATAGGTTTAGGAGGCAGGGCAGGGGGCTGTTTGAGGAGGGACAACTGTTTCACTGGGGTGTCCTCATGGTCTCCAGGGAAAGCGGCAGATTTTTTGGGGGGAAGTAGCAGGACTGGCTTAGCTGTAGGATCTTGGGACAGGAGGACGCCGGATTCATTGGATGTGGGGCTCTCTTCAGACACTGGAGGACACAACCACATCATAGACCCAACAACGTTACGAGCAAAGCAGCAGCGGGTACAGCCAAAGTAAGACAAGAAAAGCAGCACAGCAATGCAGATTAGGAATGACTCATAGATTTCAACATTGTATAACACAGAAAGGAGGAAAGAAGGAAAGAAAGAAAGAAAGAAAGAGAAAGAGTAACACACATTTACACAACAACCAAATTTCCCATTACCTCTGAGAGAAGCCAGCTCCCTTACGTCAGGCTGGGACATATTCCCACATCTTGAACACAAATTGAGTTTTAAAACATCACATCTCTAACGGTCTGTCACCACAGCTTGCTCAGGGCCAGATATGTTAGCAAGTGGTCTCTACACTTACGTAGTAAATGTAAAAGCACTTCATGGGGCCTACTCTGTTTCAAAGAGGCTGCACAGCTGTGCAAGATCATCTAGGGTAGGGCAACTGGATGCATTAGTTACTGAGAGATTTGTGGTGTGAACATCACCCAACACCATATGGCAGCTACAGAGCACGATGCTGTACCCCAGGGTTCAAACATGTTGTCAGCTCTCTGCTCCAATGCTTATTGGCACACCTGAGATGTAGACGGAGAGTTGGAAATCTACTCTTATATGTTCACAAAGTGCAGGAACTTTGCCTTATTCCAAAAGTGGCTTAGAAGTAGAGGTTACTTCTATGCCCAGTCAGTCAAAATTTCTTGTGGAGCACTCAGTGACAATCTCTATGCTGTCACCTTCTACATCAGAAGATCTTCATCTTTGACAAAGATTTCTCAGGGCTCAACATCAAATGTTAGAAGTCAAAAACTTTTTTCAAACAGCTTAGACTATATATACATACCTGTCCCATCCATGATCTCTGTGGTTGGGAGCACCTCGTATGAGCAGGGTTCCACAGATGCTGGGACTGACTCCAGTTCTGCTAGGGCTGGCAGGGATACCTGGCTGGAGCTCAGCACTTGCCCGGAGCCCAGAGGCTGCCCATTCTCCAAAGCTCCTTCTTCATTTGGTATGGAAAGTTCCCCATCTGTTCACAGTTGGAAGAAAGCAAAATGGAAAAAAAAGACACATAAATAAGATGCAGAAAGGTTTTTAAATGAAATCCACTATCTCCACTAGCTTGCTTTCAAATGAGAAACCTTGACTGGGATCTTGTATGTATACAGGTACTGGGTTTGCATGGAAAGATTTTGGTAGCAGGGGGCTACATGAGCGGTTTTTGTGATAAGCTGCCAAAAGTTTCCCGTATGTCTGATGGAACCAGCTCCAGTCAGTTCCAAGATGGACCTACAGCTGGCCAAGGCCAAGCCCATCAAGAATAGCGGTAGCACCTCTGGGGTAACATATTTAGGAAGTGGGGAAAAAAACCCACAGCAATTGCAGCCAGAGAGAGGAGTGAGATTATGTGAGACGAACAACTCTGCAGACACCAAGGTCTGTGAAGAATGAGAGCAAGGAGGTGTTTCAGGCACAGATATTACCCTGCAGCCCGTGGCGAAGACCATGGTGAGGCAGGATGTCCCCCTGAGGCCCACAGTGATCCATGGTTGATTGGAGATCCACCTGAATCCCCTAGAGGACCCCATGTCAGAGCATGAGGATGCCCACTGGAGGCTGTGACCCTGTGGGAAGCCTGTGCTGGAGCGGGCTGCTGGCAGGACCTGTGGCCCTCTGGAGAGAGTAACCCACTGTATTGGGTCTGGCTGAGCTGGAGTTCATTTCCCCACAGTAGCCCTCACAGTGCTGTGCTTTGCATTGGTAGCTAGAAGGGTGTTGATAACACACCGGTGTTTTGGCTACTGCTGAGCACGGCACCAGCACTGTAACATTCCTTCCTTAGTTGAGGGCAAGGTCCTGCAAGGGGACACAAGTATGCCAGCTGACCCGAACTGACCAAGGGGATATTCCAGATCATATGAAGTCAGCTCAGATATAAAAGCTAAAGCAAGGAGCAGGAAGGGGTGTATTCATTGTCTCCAGTGGCTGCCTGCTGAGAAACTGTCACAGGTACCGAAGCCCTGCTTCTCAGGAGGGGCCAACCATTGCTGCTCATGGGAAGTAGAGAATAAACTGTGCTATCTTTCACTTCTGCGCACGCAAATAAACTGCCTCATCCCAACCCATGAGTTTTTTTTGTTTTTTTGTTTTTTTTTCCACCTTACTCTCTCCCTTGTCCTGCTGGGAAGGGGAGTGATAAAGCAGCTGGGTAGGCATCTGGTGTCCAGCCAAGGACAACCCACCATACCCACACTGGAGCAGGTTTGCTGGCAGGACTTCTGACCCCATGGAGGACCCATCCTGGAGAAGTCTGTTCCTGAGAGACTGTAAGCTGTTGAAGGGACCCACGCTGGAGGAGTTCATGAAGAACTGCAGCTTATGGGAAGAACTAACATTGGAGAAGTTTGTTGAGGACCGTCTCCTATGGGAGGGCCCCATGCTGGAGCAGGGGAAGAATGTTAAGAGTCCCCACTGAGGGGGACACAGCGGCAGAGACAACGTGTTAGGAACTGACCTCTGCCCCCATTCCCTGTCCCCCTGTGTCAATAGAGGGAGGAAGCAGAGAAAACTGGGAATAAAGTTGAGACCAGGATGAAGGGAGGGGTGGAGGAAAGGTGTTTTTAAGATTTAGGTTTTATTTCTTGATATCCTACTCTGATTTGATCGGCAATTAATTAAATAATTTCCCCAGGTCGAGTCTGTTTTGTCATGATAGTAACTGGTGAATGATCTCTCCCTGTCCTTCTCTTGACCTACAAGCCTTTCCTTGTATTTCCTTTCCCCTGCCTGGCTGAGGAGGGGGGTGATAGAGAGATGTGATAGGCACGTAGTGTCGAGCCAGGGTCAACCCAATACAGAAGACACAGGCATAAGGATCAAATCAACTTGTATCTCCAAAATACAAGTTGTGCAGAGCAATTTTTGGAGATGTCTGTCTGAGATGTTCTGTCCACAACAGTTTCACAGAAGTCTGACAAGATTTCACTTGCTTAAGGGGTTATTAAGATTTGGGAAAGACCTATCAAATACCTCAGCTGATTTTTTGCTTATTCTAGGAGGGTCATTATGAACTATGGTCTAAGCTGGTTGGTTCCTGACCATCCTTGACATGCAGTTCCATCCAGTGCTAAAAAAATCTGTTTTCCCTCTGTCTCTGTTGAAGCTGGGAAGTCAGGAATGAGAGTGGGCTGGAATTGAAGCAATGAAGCTTTCTTAAAGAATACTAATATTCACTATATATAATTTATAATATTTTAATAATAATTACAAGAATTATTACCTTCCCTTTCACCAATTTTTATGCTATAAGGGACACAAGCAAAATCACACGAGTACGTCCCTATTTTACACACAAATAACCACATTTTATGTAAGGGAGAGAATAATTTTTATAACTGCCTGACATAAGGTCTTGATACAGAGATATATCAGATTCCATTTAGAAAGTCTCCTTTTATAGTTACTAATAATATCTCCTTTATCTGAGCAAAATTTCTGGAAGAGCAGCTGGCACTTTCCTTCCTATCAAACAACGCCTCATATTAGAAATAATAAAGAAGAGAAGTAAGGATTCAGATAATTCTCTACGGTGTCAACCTGCATGATTTTTATCTAAGAACTTGTTAAGCACAGCACTCTGGTACCTGGAGGCAATGAATACATGGATATCTCAATTACAGTTTTAAAAAGGAAAGTGTTCAGCCCCTATGGTTACAAATGGAAGCCTGAAAATATAACTGAAATGTGTCCTGTAATACTAAAAACCAGCAGGCAAATAAGCGGAGCCTAATTTTACTAAGCATTTAAACTACTTTTTAAAGTGAAACTCAGGATTTCAGGATCTGGTTTTTGATATTTGAGCACCTCTGATTAGCCATATTGCTGCTCAATGTGGAGCTGCACATCATCCAAGTGAGTGCACATTTTACCCACACAGGGCTAAGATGTGCAAGTCACTTTGGAAAGCAATACTGAAAAAAAAAGTTAAGTCTCATTTCAGTGTTAGGACACAGCAATCAACAAATTTGAAAGTACATTAGCTGATAACTATTCAGAATTATGCTTCTGCCATTTTAAGCTTCTCTATAGTGAGTGACGATGGTCTCCTGTTTATTTTAGAATTATTATAAATATCAAGGTCTTGACTTTTTTAGTTTTGTTGGAGGCTTTTTGAAGACCCTGAGAGCTACTGTGGTACAGTCACATCATACTAGACTGAAACCTGACCCACGGCTTTGAGAGCAATTAGCTGAATTGGCTAAAAGGTGGCAACGTGAATCACAGCTGAAGGCTTGGGCCAAGCGTTTGCAGCACAGCCTCCTTTCTAACTGCTGTGGTCATTTAATATAAACCAATTTATTTCCCTAGGCAGTAAAAATCAAACAACAGTTCAGCCTGTATTTAAGCTGAATGTTTTTTGACTTGGCTGCCTGAGCATTAATGCTATGTATTCTGTACTCACTCTGTCTCCCTTTTACAAACACACACACGATTACACGTGTTTGGGATAAGAGCTTCTGTTATCAGTCACCTGGTTTCATGAAAGAACGTAACTGTTTGTTATGGAGAGCAACTGCTTCTTGAATGAAAGGCAGTGAAGAGATTATGTCCAGCAATATATTCATTCATTCAGTGCATTCATTCAGACTAAATTCAACTGTAACTGTGAGCAGAGAAAAATATCCATGATAAAAACAGTAAAATTTGTTTTTTGGAGGGATATCTACATATTTTTCACAGAGTGAAATGCCTATCACAATATGCTGAGCATCTTGAAATCTTACTGTCTTAAGTGCACTTTGTGCTTCTCAAGGGATATTAGCATGATTTAAGAAAACAGCATTCAAATGATCCATGGGGTTCATGATTGCAAAAAAGTAAAATGTAAGATAAAATTCTGGCTTTTACTTTTGGTCTTAATAATAAGCATGACAGCTTTCTGTACTGAGAGAGTAAGCTTTTTTAATCTTACCTCTGAAAATCTTTAATCTTTATTCAGAGTCTAAAACTTGTCCTTGGATTTGAATGAGATCATCAGACATGGCACAGAATCACGACTGAAATATAAACCCTATCTCAGGTCTTGCTTAAAGAAGAGCTACATGAGGAGCTGCTAAAATACAGCAAACAGATCAAAGATGTGGATAAAATAATTTGTAGAGTTAAGAGTATCTTAGTGAGAGTAAATCCTGCATCAGAGACTTTCTTGACAATCAGATATAAAAAGCAAATTACTTATTATTTTTAAAATACTCAAGCTATTCCAGTTGGATGATATACAAATGAAAAGAATTGTGGTAATGCAATTATTACATAAACATCAATGAACCGATTATGTTCAGGAACCTGCTATGAGTTTAAAGTTAATTTTGCACAGTGATAACATATATAATCTTTTGTTTTCTTGCTAAATCCTTTGCTGTATTTTCACAGAGCCTGATGCTACTTAGTGGACATTGACCTCCTCTAAGTGCATGAGCTTTGATAACATCGGCTGAATCTGGGTGAAGCTGGACAGGACCATGAGAGAGTAGTTTGACCTCTGCAGCAGTGGGAACACATGAAGGTTACTCTTCTGCTACTCAGGAGACTCTGCACACATGAAATCCCTGAAGAAACAGGACCTCAGAGGAAACTCTGATGCAAAGGACTCTACCCAGACACTTTAATTCACCTTATCATGTGAAAAAAAACAGCATGAGGTGAAGGCCCAGAGATGCATAAGTGATGTATTCAAAATGTAAGGCCCCTAAGCATGGTTTGTACTCCTGAACTCACCTGCCATTTCCACTGTCAGGAACTTTAAAAACATTGCCCGGTGTGAGGCAGCCCACAGAGCATCATGCTGACTGACGCAGACCAGTCCTTTTGTGTTCTTCATGCTGTAGCTCTGCCTACCCTCTCACTGTGTCTTTTACTCTGAATACCTTTGACTATGGAACTTTTTGCATATTTGAAAAGTTTCACGCTCGTGCATTCTTTCTACAGACAAACGGCTATGGAAGTAAAAATGGAGAGTTTTAAATCCTGGGAGTTTTTTGAATTGGGTTGTCTCTTTCAGTAATTGCTCCCCAAAAAGACTGTCCAGGCAAGCATTCTTGATGGCAAAATTTAGGAAGGGCAGAGAAAAATTCGTTGTCCTTTTCTCCCATGAACTCCACGGGTAGGGAATGAAAAATAGGGTGTTCTTGCACGTGGTCAAGACCTGTCCCTGGAGCTGTTTCCTAGCATTGGTGGCTACCTTAGCCCAGTGGCTGGAGTCCTCCTCAACTTCAGTCTTTAAGCAGACCTGATGTTTTGGGATCTCATGGAGTTTGAGAAAGGCTTCTTCTGGAGGAGTTCAAAACTTTTTAATTTCACTGCAACACAACTGAAGTGGTTGTCGTCCTTCCTCCTTACTGCATTACCAAAGCCACTTCTTCAACCTTATCCTCACATACTGCCACAAAACTTGCCTTAGCACGTAAATCTTGTCGGGATTTAGGTTACCCGAAATTTAAGTTTAAATCCATCATTTTGATTAGAGAGAGAGTATAAAAATACAAGAGTATAAAAGATGAAGACTGTCCATGCTTCCTTGAAAAACCATGGTACCATTGCCTCTGGATCAAGCAATCAATACACACGCACAAATTTCTCACTACGGGCAATCTCATCCACATTCACATAAAAGAAGTATCAAAATACTACAAGGAGATTTAATTCTTTGATTGGGACTATGAAGGAGATGGCAATTCTAAAGACAGATGCTTTTGGGATGGTTACTCCTTCATGAGAAAATCAAGGGTGTTTTTCTAGGTGTAGGAGCGATGGTACAGCAAAAATGTGAGTTCTTCTAAATGCTGAGGTGTGTTCTGTGTTAAAGGTGGAAATGATATTTTTAACCTCCCAGCGCTGCCTGACCACAACCTATTAGAACAGCAGGAGTCTCACCAGATACCTCTTCAACTTACTATTTTCCAAAAGTACACAGTATTTGAAAAAATTATAGCCTTTGCCTACATTTTCAGAATAGTCAAGTCACAAAGCCCTGGAAATGGAAGATAACAGTAACTGATTTGGTCACGAGTCTGGCCCCTTGCAAGAAAAGAGCTCCCTGCAGTTCAGCCTGGAGTAGTTTAATTTGACTAGTTTAAGTGTGGGGGTCACTGAAGTGATAACAGCATTTCTTGTTTTTCAAATATAGCAGCTGGACTGCAGTGACTCTCCCATGTGTAAATATGATGACTTACTGCACTCTGACAACTTTCACCTGCTAGGTGACACAAAGTCTTCTGAAAACCAGCAAATCCTGAAGCAAACATGTCAGAGCATCATTTTAAACAGCAGGCAAACAAAACAGCTAATTCTGGTTTTCTTCAACACAGAAGACATGACAAAACCAACACTAAGCACACAGCAGGAATATTTGTTGTTGGGTCATTCTGTCCACACTAAGTTTCCTTTGATCTGTATGGATTTTTTTTTTTTTTATGAAAGAAAAAGCCAAAATTAATCAGTGGCTGATTCTGCCTGCTTTTTCCACTGCTTAGGAAAGGGAGACAAAGAGATTTAGCTTTATGCCTACACCTATTGTCTGTGCAAGATGTCTCTCGGTATGTAAGGTGCAACCCTGATCAAATAAAGCCTTCTGCAATGAAGATTACCTAACAGGAATTACAAGGAAAATCTTACTTTCACTTAAGGTTCACAGAGAGATATCCTTTATTACAATTACTCAGATTATTACACCACTGAAGGAAATAATGTTTTTGCTCTACATATCTGGCCTTGCTCATACCTTTGTATCATCAAAGCTGTTTGATTACTGCTGCTATTCTTGTGTATTACCACTTTTGTCTCTGCCTGACCTCTTCCTTCCAGGGAGGGGTACCAATACTTAGCTTCCCGTGCCTGTAACCAGCAGGAATAATGTAGGATACTGGCTAAGGAGTCCAAATGGTTTGCATTGTCATTTCCCTTTTAGTGACAACTGACAGTGAAAAAGTCCATTGTCTCTGCTTTTTGCACTGGAAATAAGAAGTGGCACGTGTTTCATATCAGTTTTGAAATGGTGAAAAATTGCTATAAAGAGGAATTAATTTCTTTCTTTCAGACAAAGACCCTCAGACAGCTTAGTATCTCCTTCATAAGATGACACAGAAGATCACGAACTACTGCATTATTTGATCAACAGAGAAAGCTGTAGGGCATTGGTAGCAATGCAGGGGGAATCTCTCCGAGTTTCAACGTAGAAGGCAGAGTCAGCCTGCACAGAAAAGATTTTTCCTGGGGATGCTTCTAAAGTGTATGTAGGGATGGTGCAGAAAGCAGCTACATGTGGGATGTGATGCAGGGATGGAGGAGGTCACACCCTGGACAGAGCTGTGACTCAAGGCTGCCCTCTGAGCTGGCTGAGGCACTGAACAGGGAGCCGTGCCCTGCCTCCCCTGGGCTGCTCCCCTGTCACTTGCTGTGACAGCCTGGACCGTGCCTCACTGGCTGTGGGTTCAGCCTGAGCCACACTCCAAAACATGGGCAACACAAAGCAGTGAGAAGGGCAAACCTTTTGCCAGGAGTTGCCTTTACCCTGAAGTTGTACCTAGGATGATTTCTAGGCCAGCGGGATCATACTGAGAGCACAGTGTTAAATCTGAAGGATTAGAAGCATCCACAATTCCTAACTGGTAAAAACTGTAAAATTTAATGAAAAGCACTCTATTTTTTTTTGTTTGTTTTACAGCGTTTTGCATTTTTTCCCACTTAAAAGAATGAAAAGATTGGGTTAGTAATTTTTAATTTCCCAATAGGATAGACTAAAAAGTAGGTAGCAGGTTTAAACACTCCCAAATTTATAAAGTCGATGATATTTCTAATATCTGTGAAAGTTATAACTTCTATTAACTTTTAATAGATTTTGTACTGGTATTGTTAAAGACTTTTGTATTTTGAATTAATGAGGCTTTGAAGCATATGCATAAGTTCTATTAAAATTACAAGGCAACTTTGTCATGGTTTTACATAATTTGTTGAATTAATTGCCTTAGTTATTGACAAGGGAAGCAGCAAAACAAACAAAAGCTGCAGTTAAAGTCTGACACATAGGTAATAAATGTCAAGTACATATTGCATTACCAGTGTAAAACAATGATGCTTGTAAGACAATAGCATTTCGCATAAATAAGACATTACCAACTCTACAAATTAATTATCCAGAACAAGGAATTATTATCTCTTCTGAGACATTTCAAGGGAAAGTACATTGTTCTGTGCCTGTCAGGATCCAAAACCTGTCAATGTTTCCCTTTTCCACAGTTAATCCCAAAGCGACTCAACCAGACAATGGTAACAAACACAGGCATGGACCCATTTCATCATTCCACAGTCTGGATGCTTTGCTCTTTTGCAGTGAGTCACTAGTGCCTGTTGCTGTGATTTTTATTTCTACTGCTTTACATTTCTGATTAGTTTTCATTTTTATTTGCTAAGTAACTATCACACATATCCAACAGAATGGGCCAGACCACAGCAAAATCAAGAGAGGTGTTTGGAGACCTTTTTCTGCAGAGTCTTGCAATTCAGGACTCCATTCCGAGTTCCTAGCATTACAATAATGTAATGTCTGACTGTAAAACTATATGAAATGACGATTTAATGTGGTGAAAGAAAGAACACTTACCTTTATCAAAAATTTCTTTCAGCACTCCTCGTTTTATAAGCTCCTCTCTGCTTTGCCTCATTGACATTTTTCTTTCCAAAGCTGTAAGCAAAGGAAAAGAGTCGATATAAATAAAAAGGCAAAAAATTGTTTTAAAAGGCTCTACGCCTTTTAAGGCATTTTAAAAGATTTTCTTTTTCCTCTTCAAGTCAATGGCAGTTTAGCATCTCAAAATAAAGGCTCCTGGCAGTCCAGAGAATCTGTCTGCTTCTGTAGTGAGGCTGTTGTTGACAGAAATGGCTATAGACTGACTGACTTGAGGATATGTCTGCACTCCCATTGCTTGATTTTGACATATGACCCAAGCATTTCTGTGGAGAATCAGAGACAGCAAAGGGAGAAAAAGGAAATTAGTGTAGAAGCTGCAGAGTGAAAGGTAAGAAAGAAGGCAACACACCACATCAGTGAAAGATGGGGCCACAGAATGTGGCCATGGACTGTCTCCAGGCCATGGAAGAGGACAGAAGCCAAGGCTTCTTTGCTACTAATTCCAGTGAGAGTAAATCAAGGTGGGGCAGTGCAAAACATGAGCTGTTTAATGGAGCCTTCTCCTGCTGAGAGGTATGTTTTTCCCTAAAGAGATGTAAATGACAGAAAATCCAAGAGAGCCACTGCAATTTACACCAGAACTGAACAGCCCGAGTTCTGTATTGGCTGCTTGGAGACCTTGGTCACCGAGGCAACAAAATGACAGATAGAAAATACATGTTTCTTTAGTTCAGTAGTAATTAAAACAATGTCCAATTAACCAAAACACCACAAAGGACATGCACTCAGGTAAAGACTTGGAAGCCAGCAAGCAAGGGGCGCAAGCAGTGATGTGCAGCAGAGGCTGCGACTGCACCAGCTCTGCGAGAAACAAGCCTGTGCCTGCCAAAAAAGAGGCACAGTCAAGGGCAAATTGCTTCTGCCATATGCTCCTCGATCAGACCCAGCACAGATGCACGCACACACAAATGAACTGGGACTTAGCATCTCCAGTCTGCCCAAGGCAGAATTAAAGCAAAAGAGGCTTGGAAACCCTCTCTCCTATCCCCGAAAACAGGAGGGTGTAACCTTTTCTGGTACTGCTGTGTGTTGACTGTTCCCACAGGGACACATATATTTGGTGAATTAGCTATGGTTATACTGACACACTGCGCTCATTGCAACTTCATTGCTGTCACAGACTTAGGGCTTAGTATGAACAAGGCCAGCTCTGCTTCGCTCTTCTACATAGGATAAATTTACGCTTTCCTACTTTAAAAATCAGTTTTGAACATGTATTCTTCAGGACAAAGAGGACCAGTAGGTACAGTCAGAAGCTAATAAAAACCCTGGTCTGCCCTAAACGCACCCTCTGAAGTTTATTCTGGATCAGAGTTGAAGGCAGGTCCCTTTGTTGAGGCACAAGACCCCCCACACACCAGCTAAGCAAATGGTGCAGTTTGATTTTAGAAGCTTGTTAACAGCCACAGCATTTTCCAGAGCACCCAGAACCCATTCGAAGAAGTGCTTCAGGCACCTCAACTGACGTTCAATGAAACACCGACTTCTAAGTTTCTAATATGCTTTTGAATGGAAAGATCCAACAATCAGGCTTCAGAGTCACCCTGCAGACTGCTCCTCAAGCTGCCTTTTCTCTGTGCTGAAGGGGTCTTGTTCTGGTACAACATTTAAAGCTCTTTCCTCTTCCTCTTCAAGAATAGATGTGCTCAGCCCCTCCAAAAAAAAAAAAAAAACCAGAACAAGCTACTGCTAACTTCTGAGCTTTCTCCCACCAAAGAAATTGTTAAAACCCTGAGTGACTCTAAAGATCAATTTGGTGGCACCCAACAACTTTTCCTATAGGTCTCAGAAAGGGTAGTTTTCTGTTAGTGTAAGCAGCAAACAGCACCCGGTCTGTCTGAACTTGCTCTTCAGTGGGAAATCGAGTCTGGTGAATCAAAGAAGCAGTTTCTGGAGGGGGAAAGCAGCACTGCCCATGGAACAAAGACACGGACAAATTCTGCTATTCCTATACTTGACCATAGATAGCTAAGTAATAAAATAAAATTTTACACATAAATTCATTGGCACCTACGTGGATTCACACTGTTACCCTCCTGCCTGGTCAGCAGCTGGCTATGCATTAGGTCTCACCTCACCTATGAGGTCTCACCACATTATTACAGTACTAGTAAAAACCACAGTAATTCTGTGGACTGGAATTCAGGCTTTTGGGAAATCAAGTACTAAAAAGGGCTATCAGGACATTTTGAAGAAGTGTAGGAGCACCTCTTCCAAAACAGTTGCTGGGGAAGATCCTCCAGAAATGACCAAGATTTCTTGAACTAGCAAACTATTTTTGAAGTTCAGCAGAACTTCAAAGACAAAATACATGTATTTAGAACACTGTATATACGTATACATATATAGGCTTTTCAGATACTCCCATTTAGTTGTAATCTGCTTGTGTTCAAGAATGAAAAACCTCACAACCTTCCAGCTGAAGCTCAGACAAACCTGATTTTTTCAGTTTCTAAATCCTTTCCAAGTAGGTACAGGACTTAAAGTATTATTTTTTTTTCCCCTACTAATCCAGTTTAATTAATAAGATATTTAAAGGAAGGGCATGCTGGGCTAAGAGCAGCACTGAATGATAATAACAGATGTTATACTAAAACTACGGACTGTGCTGCCTTTCTTTAATACAAATCTTCCTCCCAAACAAGTGTTGTATGCTTAAGTGCATAACCTGCTATGCTAACGCTGGATCAGATGGGAAAAAAAATACAAGCACTTAGATGCAAAACTCATTAGGATCTAACAGCCTGAACAATGAAATGCTTTACTCAGTTTGGATTTCTCTGGGAAAAAGATTGCCAGTTCTTTTACGAAGGATTTTCTTTTCAAGCAGAAAGCTGATACAAAATAAATTCATTCACTCTCCACTGAGAAGAGATCCATTCGCAGCAGCGGATAAATAAAAACCTCAGAATTTGATTCATGAGAACCATGCAAATTCTACGATGGGAAAAAAGGAAATATAATTAATATTTAACAAAAGATGTATTACTTCATTAGTGATTTTTCTTGGTGATTAACCTCATTTTTTTCATTTGTATAACCTTCCAGGAGATTAGAAATACGCATTAAGCCCTCTTCATGGGATCTACTTATGTCAGAAACTTGTTACAATAACAAATTCATCCACTCTCCAAGAAACTCTCAGTTACTAGTTCATAGAAATGAGCCTATAAGTATTTTATGGTATAAGTGTACAGATTTTGCCAGTGTGCTCCACAGTAGCTGTTTCTTTTAAGCTTTGATGAAGAAACAGTGGGAAATGTTTTTATTAATGTTTCTGAGCTGGTAGTTTTGAACTCGTCCCTCAGGAGCAGTGCCTCTCGGCTGTTCAAGCAGAGTTTTTCTCTGTGGCAGACCCATTAAGATCAGCAAAGCCTTGACAGGGCTGGGAGGAGTTCCTGCCCCTCCGTTCTGGAAATCAAGTACAGTTTTGTCTTTATTCCTTTAATAAGCCGCTGTGCTCTGTGATGGCAGTGATTGTGGGCTGCTCCTCCAGCTGAGAAGGTGAAGCTCGCTGCTGCCTCTGTGCCAAGAGCTTCTGCTGCTCCATTAACCAGCCAAAGAGGCATTTATGCAGTCAGGACATGTAACCTTTCTGTCCCTCCCATCCTCGCCTACAAGACTAAAACATGTCAGATGACTATTCAACCTGCATCTATATGAGATAATAATAAATTAATAAAGATTATTTTTCAGGATAATAATAACCCAGTCTCCTTTGCAGAATTTGTCATGTTGCTGCTTAAATCAAAAGGTGGATAAAATAAACAAGTTCTGCCTTTTCCTTCTCATCTCACACCTGAAGCTAAACCCCAGTCTGTGCTGGCCAGTTGGATCTTAACCTTGCTTTCTTCTGAGGTTGCCCTTGGCCTTTGCCTTAAAATGCACTGAGGGCTGCTTTTCATGAATTCTCCCTTTCAAAGGCCACTATAATTTTCATCATTATTTTAGAAGGCAAAGGTTGTTATAGGATAGAGCTTAGAGCAGAAGCTTTCTGGTGCATCAATTATATTTGCTTTCAGTAGGAATCTGCCTTGCTAATAATTCAGATTTGAATAATTAGAAAAGAGCAAATCAATTGCTTTACACAACATTTAGATAAACAACCTTCAATATTTCCCTTAGACTTATAAGAAAGGAGAGATTTTCAGATGTGATGGATTATGTATCAAAACATGTCACATCATCTTGAAATTTTTCCAACTATGTAGACTTCCCTGACAATCAAATAGAGCAGGATTCATCTGATAAAAATTTTTACAGTGTGGGTTTCTGCCTCTGAGTTGGCCTTCTTACAAGTCTCGGGCATGATTAACAGCCAGATGTGAGCATCTAACAAGACTGAACTGCACTGTTAGGCTTCACTGACTGTAAAGGAAGCTAAGGGTGAGTAGCTGAGATGCAGATGCATAAAAATTGGGCTGATTACACTTCTGAAACCAAGAGTAGTTTCAAGAAAAGAAATGTTGCTCTAGATGAAAGTCTCAGACAGAGGTGATGAAAATGTAGATGTGTCAGCTCACACAGAGCTCCATTAATTTTGGGATGTTATAATAGCTGTGGCATGACACCAGCACTGCTGCTGTGAGCTTGGTGTTTAACCAATGCCAAAACATAGGTTGGTTGAAGTAACTGGCTTGCTTTGTTTGGTGCTAAATACGCATTTTGCTTGCCTTCAAACGTGCACAGGTCTCTTGAAGCCTGAGGGAAATAAAAATATTCCAACAGGCTTCTTAGTCTTTGAGATTTAAAGTTCCTTATAGAAGTTCTGAGTCTTTCTAATATCAGCCTGGGTTTTCATCTAGCAGTATCATCTACAAAATCTGATTCAGACAGTTTACTGCCTAGAAAGGATTAGGAGTCTCTTTTTGTCTATGAGTCTGCCCATGAAATTTCTCTAGCCTAGCACTCCTGTTCTATGAGATGACAAAATAAGTGAACATCAGGAGGAAGATGGGCTGGTATTAAAAGTTAAGCTTCATTTTAAAAAGTGT